CTAGTTAGCTAAACTGCCTGGACAGTAGAAAAATAATACGTGAGGACGTAAAAGGAAGAGAAACAATGTGAGGGGAGAGAATGCAGAGATTCTGGTCCATGGAATGGCATTGGAGATCCTTAAGTAGCTGCATGAACTACTTGGAGAAGTTCATTTTCTGGTTATAATTCCCAGCAAAGGAGAGGACTGAATAAGAGAAAAGAAAACGATTCCTTTCTCTGGTTAGGTTCATCAGATCAAACAGTGATATATGTGAAAGAAGCACTTTCTATGCACAAAAAATCAGGTCTGTATTTTTATAAAAGCTACTTCTGGGTCGGGTGCGGTGGCTCACGCCTTTAATCCCAGCACTTTGGGAGGCTGAGGTGGGCGGATCACGAGGTCAGGAGATGGAGACCATCCTGGCTAACACGGTGAAACCCCGTCTCTACAAAAAAAATACAAAAAAATTAGCGGGGCCTGGTGGCGGGCGCCTGTAGTCCCAGCTACTCCGGAGGCTGAGGTGTGAGAATGGCGTGAACCTGGGAGGCGGAGCTTGCAGTGAGCCGAGACTGCACTCCAGCCTGGGCGACAGAGCGAGATTCCGTCTCAAAAAAAAAAAAAAAAAGCCATTTCTGCAATGTGCGTCACTGGAGAGTTAGTTGCTATGGGTCTAAAGGACAATATGAGGCATTCATAGTAACTTTCCATGATATGAACAAAGAAATTGAAAATGTTAGATACATTTACAAGAAGATGTAGAAAAAACTCTAGTCAAAATTTTTGAAACATTTTTTGAAATATTAAACTCTATGGAGTCAGACAGTCTTATCTATGGTCTTAAGCCATGTCTGTCTATACCTTATTTCTTCTTTGATCTCATTTCAGGGAATATTACACTGGCTGACCTGTTATTAATATCTTCTTCTGAGCCAGAAAAGGTAAGGAAGCTGCATCTTCAGAATTGTATTTGAGTCATTTGTGAAATTGCATATTACAATTTGCTGCCATTTCTAACAGTCCTATAACTTTTTTTTTTCTCTTAACTGAGTGTTCACATTCATGCCAATGACCTCTATGGGCTAGTTTCTCTTCTAGCTCAAGAGAATTGCTTCAGAGTTGGAAGTAAGGAAAAAAATGTGTATTCTTCATGTTTGATTTCAAATGCATAGAAAATTAGAAACTTAAGTTATGCAAGAGATTTGTGTGGAATTTAAGTACCTTCAAGAGCCTGTGGACAGGACAAAAAGTTATTTTTTACCTGTTTGTTTACAAATAGCAAAGATCAAGACTGAGACAAATAAAGGTGATTTAGAAAGAGTTGGCTGCAGGTGCTGGTTGCTCAAGTGGTTCATTTAAACTGCAGGTCAGAGTAACCTTGTCTCTTGGTCCTGGTGCCCAGGTATCAGGTTAGGTCTATCTTGCTGCTTATGTCCTTGTTACCCTCTGAGGTCCCCAGTCCAACACAGATCAATAAAGAATAAATTACATAAATATGCTCATAGGTGGTCATTCCTAGACAAGAAATTGACAACATTTCATTCAACAATATTTGGGCTCTACAGGACAGACATGCCTCCATTTATGCAACAAATAAGAAAAGCATCTCAGTAACAGCGGAGAAAACATGGGATGTGCAGGTAGGTAGGTAAAGTTGGGTTGGAACTTTCGCCCTACCAAATGCACATGAGTGACTTATAAAAGAAATGTTAGCTCTCTGAGCCTCAGTTTTCCCATCCGTAAAATAGACAGTCCCAGGGAATTTACGAGGATTAAATGAAATAAAAGTGAATCAACCTATTCAAGCCTGCCTACTGTGGTGTCCAGGCTAGAAAGATGCTCAATAAATATTAGGTTTGTTTTTATTTCTACAAAAGATGTGATCCTAAAGAGCTCTATCCAAATTCAAGTTTCAAATATCAAATCACATTTTGTGAACTTTGATTTATGTTCAGTTGAGATGATCTCTGACATATTAATTAGTAATCCCATCTTTTTCATTCATCACCACCAAAAAAAGGTGTTATTGCAGGTTCAATTAATCTTTCCCCTTTCCTTTATTAATTCCATAAGTGTAGGGTTTTATCTCTCAGATTCTCTTAAAACAGACCAATTTGTATCCACATAATATAAATAAGCTTGTTCCTATAATAATCTGGAGCAGATAAGAGTATCCCAGAACCCAAATCCTCCTACTTGACCTCAAGCTCAGAGAATAAAGCAAAAATTCAAAGGCACCCTTTGGCATGACACCCTTCTAGACATCTGTAGGGTTCCTCTTTCCCTCCATTTTTTGTATTAGCTTTTGCTTTCTTGCCTTTGACAGGGTTTTGTTTTGCCTCTTGGTATTTTCTTTCCTATGGAAAATTCTCCGTACTGTTTCCCTCTGATCTTTCCAAGTCAAAGCCTTCAGCAAACATTTGTTGAACGCCTAGATTGTGCTAGGTGGGTGTTATGGACCATGGAGAATGCTAGAGATATAAGACATGCACTGTTCAATTGCAGCGCAGGTTGTGTTGACAGGTAAGATGAGGGCTGTGGGGGAGGCAATGTGCACATTCCACTGGGCTAATGTGCTCTTCACCTTATTCAGTCTCTTTGCTTTGGGATGTGTAAGACTTCACTAGATAGAGAAGGGGCGGGGTGAGAAGATGAGGAAGGTGCACCTTTATGGAGAAGCTTTCCTTCCTCTTCACAGCAAACCATACCTGTACTACATTGACTTCCTTTGCTTTCCCAGTTGACATCTAGCTCATCTTGCAAGCTCATCTTGTTAATCATAAATGCTAGCAAATTAATATTACCCATCATATATAACATGACTTAATTTTAACAATTCAGTGCTTTATCCCCAAAATATGACTTAATGGTGAAGATTTCAGTCCCCATTGTAGTCTATTTTGGAGACAGGCAGTCCTTTCAATGTCATATGTGGGTCCTTCCTTAGACAGGTCAGGGGTGAGGTGGAAATGAGGCTGGGACCCTGCTCATTTATATAGCAGGCATCATCTCAATACCAGGCTTCAGGGTGCTTTTTGGTCTAGCCATTGATATAAACTGCCTCAGGAATAAACCCTTCGTCATTGTGGTCACAATTCAGGTAGAACTGGAATAATCAACCTCTCCCTCTGCATTAAACCAGGCAAAGTTTCCATCCCTGGGTACCATTGTCTTTCTTGACGGACAGGGTGAGTCAGAAGGAAACGTACTCACTCCCATTCATTTTCTGCTTATTATTTCCTGCAGTGAGGTTTCCTTGTATAATAAACAGCTTCTGTGGGTGTTTGAGCTGCTCTAAAAAGAGAACATGCTGTTCCTGTGTGTAGAATGCTTTCTGAAGGAAGCATCACAGTGAACACAGAGCAGAAGCTTGGCTCACAGGTGGCAGGAGTTTGTCTGCAGTGTTCTGTGTAGAGCAGAGAGTCAAGCCATCTTCATTTCTGATTGATTGCAGGCATGGTATGGAGGTCAATGGGTCCTTGGCCTCTCTCCTGGATTCAAGTCCTTCTTAGCCACTGATAGGTCATGTGACCATAGGGAGGTTGTTTAACCTTCCTGAACATTCATTTTCTCAAGTATAAAATGGGGATAATAGAATTTGCCTTATAGGCTTGCATATAAAATAAGAATTATTGACAGAAAGCGGGGCATGAATGTCCAATAAGTGGTAGCTGTCTATGAAGCCACTGTTGTTACTGGGTTCCTTTTTCACTATGTGGCTTCAGGTAGCTGATAGAAGCTCTGTGAGCCTCAATTTCGTCACCTGAAAAGTGGAGTCAATATCTCACTGGGCTGGTGTGAGGATTAAATGAGATGCTGTGCAGGTGTTTAGTATTGATAGATGCATTTTCTTCACCCTCACCCGTCTTTTTCTGCCTGTTGGCTTATGGTTGAAATTCCTTCATGACGGTTTCCATTTCCAGAGATATATTGTTAACAAATGAAACTGATTTTTTTTTTTTTTTTTTTTTTTGAGGCATAGTCTTTGTCACCCAGGCTGGAATGCAGTGGCGCGATCTTGGCTCACTGCAACCTCCACCTCCCAGGTTCAAGCGATTCTCCTGCATCAGCCTCCTGAGTAGCTGGGATTACAGGTGCATGCCACCACGTCCAGCTAATTTTTGTATTTTTAGTAGAGATGAGGTTTCACTATGTTGGTCAGGCTGGTCTCGAACTCCTTACCTCGTGATCCACCTGCCTCAGCCTCCCAAAGTGCTGAGATTACAGGTGTGAGCCACCATGCCTGGCCATGAAGCTGATTTTTTTAAACCATCATTTAACATTTTCTCCATAAGGTGGCAATGAGGAGGAGTATATGGGAACTGGGTACCTTGAGAGACCCCAGGACAGGGGACAGGGAGGCTGAGGTTGGCATGTTGTCCACTGCATTTATTTGCCAGCGACACACTCTTCCTGTCCAAACTAACTTCTCTGCCTCAAGGACCGGGAGACTCTGCCTTTCAACCTGAGAGAAACCAGGTCAGCTTTAATGAAAATTGGAGTTGGTGTGGGGCAGTGGAGACTTTTCACAGCTATTGTTTAGCTGATGAAGCAGGTGCTTCTCCATCTTTGGAGCCTGTCTTCATTACCTGTGGACCTCATCCTTATCAACCCGGAGCACACTTGTGTCTATTTTGGCTAAACACGAAACAGTTGAGGCTGGTACTGTAAAAGGTTCCCTCCAAATGCCCCCTTGGTCTTCCTCTGTTAGAGATCTGGATCACAACCCTCAAAAACCATGTCCCTTATGCCACCTGAGTAGATGGTTTGATAATTAGGCACAGATGTAACACTGGGTTCTCGCAATGGCCTGTGGGTCACACGTTACTTTCCTTTTCATTTTCATCAGCAGCAGCTGCCTTAAAGCCAGTTAAGATGGTGGTCGCAGTCTCACACCCTGGGGCTCCTCCTGGGTTGGGTGAGGGGAACACCCAGTTAAGCTGGGGGAACTGGGGCGGCCACCAGGAGGCGCGAGGGGCCTTCGCCCGAGGAGAGGGGTGGGCAGGTACCTCCAGCCGAGAAGGGCGCAGCGGCCGGAGGCACAGGTCTCCCCAGTGCCACTTCCACCAAGTGAGTTCGAGGAAGTCCCTGGGATCTTTGATCTAACGCGAAAGGCCTTCCTAGCGAGCTCTTGAGAGCTGAGAACCTACGCCCTCCACCTCTAGTCCACGGCTTTGCCACTCCAGGACCCGAAGTTAACGTTTGCTGCTGGGGATTTGACAAACCCAAAGCCTCTCTGGTTTCACCACTGGCTCCTTAGAATCAGACTTCTGTACTGAATTACACTTATGTGAGTCAGGGGCTGGGAGACGTGATCCTCGAAGTGTGGTCCCCAGACTGGCTGTATCAGTGTCGGCATCCCGCAGGACCTGGTTGGAAATGCATGTTCTCAGGCCCTACCACAGACCTCTTAAATCTGAGACTGGGGCTGCGGGGAGCGCCATCTGTGCGCCACTATCCTTGGGGGTGGACCAGGAGGCGGCTCGAGGGTGCTCCCACTTTGGGGTCACGCGCGGCGCCGGGCGCTCCTGAGACCGCCGGGCTCCCGGGCTCGGTGGTCACGTGGGCTCAGGCACTACTCCCCTCTACCCTCCTCTCGGTCTTTAAAAGGAAGAAGGGGCTTATCGTTTAGTCGCTTGTGATCTTTTCAGTTTCTCCAGCTGCTGGCTTTTTGGAGACCCACTCCCCCGCCCGGAGGCAGTTGCAAGCGCAGTGGCTGCGAGAAATAACTGCCTCTTGAAACTTGCAGGGCAGAGAACAGGCGGCGAGCGCTGGGCCGGGGAGGGACCACCCGAGCTGCGACGGGCCCCGGGGCTGCGGGGCAAGGCTGGCGCCCGGAGCCTGGGCTGCAGGAGCTGCGCTCGCTTTCCTCAACAGGTGGCCGCGGGGCGCGCGCCAGGAGCCCCCTAATGCTGGAAAAGCACGTGTCCGCATTTTAGAGAAGGCAAGGCCCGTGTGTTTATCTGCAAGGTAAGCACCCCTTCGCTTGAGATGTCATTTAATTGTCTCATTTTGTTTGAAATCCTGCGGTGAGAAACCAGTCATGTTGAGAACAATAAAAGACCAAAAAAACGGTCACCAAAACCAACTGTCTTGAAAGCTACTGGAAAGATGGAAAACGTATGCTTTGATTAAATGTCTTCATTCAAGACACCGGCAAGTTAACTTATTTAGTTTGTGCTGTGAGCTCTGGGTTGCTTGTGTTAATATGAATGTCTGAAAAACTTTTTTTTTCCTATGGTTTTCCTCGATGGATTTCCCCACTGTGGGTGAAATGACAGTGGAGTTGAACACACTTTCTGATTGAAATTTGAGGGCCTAGGAAGATGTACACGTCTCAGGCAGATGATAGGGGTTTTAAAATGTATTAATTGGCATTCCTTAGCCGTATCAGCAAGCTGCGCTCCTCCTTTCCTGGGCAGACCAAGCTAAGCTCTATCTGGTCTCCTTTATTTGCTGAAGAGGAGTCCAACAACTGCCTTCTAACACCCTGTGTGTTATTCTTCTGGGAAGGATAATATTAAGTCAAGTGAATATCATATTTGTGAAAAAAACTTTGAGTGGACTTCTATTTAGGAAAATAAGGTTGATTTAATTTTACTTGCTGTTTAAAAAGCAGGATTGTGTTTGGGTGTGGTAGGCAACATTTTGAAGGAAAGAGTTTGCCTTATTTTGTTTTATTTCTAGTATTTACATGGGCATTCCATTAGAAAGTTTTACTTTTGCTCTAAGTTTCGTGACTCAGTGTCTAGTGAGGGGAAAGATGTTTGTCATTTAAAAAGTGAATATGTGAAAGGAAAGACTTTTCTGAGTGTTGTAAAAAGCAAATGTAATGTGACTATGAAAAGAACATGATTAACATCTTTGACTCCTATTTTTTCTGAAGAAAATGTATTTTGACATGAGTTCTAGGAGGAAACTAAGGATCTGTTTTTCAATAGGCATTAGAGTATACACCTTAGGATTGCATTTTACGTTCAAGCAATTTTTTAGATGAATTTCTGAGACGTTCTCATTTTAAAAGCCATGAGACACTTATTAACACTGAAGTCTTGCTCAAGACATAGAAGTCTCTGAAATCAATTAACATGTTTAGGACACATTTCGTAGTGTTCTGAGGGATGTGAATAAATCTAATCACAGTTTGCGTTTCTCAGAATGTATTTATAATTCAGAAAAGGTAAAATTTAGTAGCAAATGCAACCCATAACCATATAATTAACATTTAATAGATATTGATATGTTCACTTTTAAGAATAAGACAATGAGACTTTCTTTAAGCGTGTATTGAACACATAATGATTCAAAATTCATCTTGTGATAAGTTTAGGTGATGTTTTGAGTCATTTTATAGAATATAAATGTGGATAAAATATAAAATACTGAAGGCTGAACTTGAAGTGTTTAATGGTAAGTTTTTGATAATACATCTAGAACCCTTGAGAATTGTATGCTTGAACATTAGATGTCATAATTCAGTGTCTAGCACATTGTTTTATATGTAATAGCACTTAAAAAAATTAGGCTACTGCCGTATAATTTACATACAGTAAAATTTAGCCTCTGTAAGTGTACCTCTGTGAATTCTGACAGATGCACAGTCATGTAACCAGCACCACAGACAAGACACAAGACAGTTCCATCACCCCAAAAGTCTCCTTTGTACCTCCACCTACCCCACTGCCCCTGAAAATGACTGATCAAAACTACATAATAAATATGTAGTTTTGCTTTTTAGTGTGTTTTTACTTAGACGTATTTTCCTTCACTTTTTTTTTTTGAAAGAAAAACCTGTTGTTCCCTTTTTATAGGATGAGTCAGTTTGTGGTATTTTGAATTCTAGTACCTTGGGATAAATCAAGGCAAAGACAATGCTACTTGCAAATGGGAAGCTAGAGACTTGGACTAAGTGTTAAATTCATATAGGGCTACTAGATTTAGTTCTTAGCAGATTTAGATTCTATTGTGGTTTAAGCCTTTGGTTATGGCATATATCATTAGTTATCCTGAACTGAAATACAAGGCCATTAAAAGTTATTTATATCACATTAGTGGAATGCATCATTCTGGTATAATCTTTGAATTTTAAAACTTCTATATTAAAAAAAAAAACTACTTTCATTATACCTGAGATTAAGAAAGCTACCTGAAATTGCATATTATCAAATAGTAAGAAGCACAAGAGGGTTTGAAAATGACAAATTGAAGACATTTAAAATGCAGAGTGATTACAATTGCTGAAGGTAAAATATTTATCTTCATAGGGGCTTAGGTCTGTACCCAACTTATTTGTAGATGTCAGGATTTTTACATTTTCTCTGCTCATGTCTTAAAGTCTAGATTTTCCTGGTGGGTGGAGATGCAAAATCTTTTGTAAACTAATAGTTTTCACTGTTTAATACCGTATTCAATTCAGTATGCAGTTAGGAGCCTGTTATTGGTAGGTACTGCTAATATACATATATAAAATTGATGTCTTTTTTGTTTTTCCTTTGTTCTATGAAAAACAGCCTGTATTTTAAATATGTAACTTACCTTGCATACCCAGTTACAGTGGCAGTAACTAGGATATGCAGAGTGGCAAGTTTATGAGGAACCAGCAAACTGGATAGTTGGCCTTCCTAGCTGGAATTATGACAGGTCTTGAAAATGAAGGGCATTTAGTGGAGAATCTTTGTGTGGGTGTACTTGAGAGAGGACGGGAGAGTTAGGGTGACCTGGAAAGATAGATTGCTGGCCTTGTATGTTTCCTCAAAGCCAGAGTGCAGCATTTTGTTAATAAATTGTTGTGTGTTCTACTGTCAAACCCAGGCCTGGAAGGGGAGTTGAGAGCATTCAACCTAACTTCTGGATTGGCCGTGTTATCTTGAATCTCTTCACTCAGAATTCTCTCTAACCCTGTCCCAAATGAATATGTGAATTTGGTCCAGTTCCTACAGAGCATGGTCTGTGGCTGTTGTTGGTATTAGGCAAGAGCAGAGACTTGCTGTTGAGAGAGGACACTCAAGAAGACTGATGAACTCTCTCCCACCCCTGCCTTTGAGGCTTGGTCCTCTTGCCCTTTTCAAGCCCTCAAAACTCTATTTCCTATTCAACTAAATAAGCACCAATTGGTTACTAGGAGAATTAGCTTTTCCTCATTTTGGAAGGAAGCAGGGTTTCCTGATGTACATGTTCTTAAGAATTACATGCAAATCAGTTGTTAATGATGAATTCTATGGTGATTTTGGAGTGTTTTATCTTCCTAATATTAAATTAATTGAGGGCCTTAATATTTTGTTTTGAAAGAATATATTTAAAAAGGCTGGGTGTGGTGGCTCACGCCCGTAATCTCAGCACTTTGGGAGGCCTAGGTGGCCAGGAGTTCGAGATCAGCCTGGCCAAATAATGAAACCCTGTCTATTAAGAATACAAAAAATTAGCTGGCCTGTGGTGGCTCATGCCTATAATCCCAGCTACTCAGGAGACTGAGGCATGAGAATTGCTTGAACCTGGGAGTCAGAGGTTACAGTGAGCCGAGATCATGCCACTGCATTCCAGCCTGGGCAACAAAGCAAGACTCTATCTCTAAATAAATAATAAATAAATAGAATACATTTAAAGATACTAATTGGCCAGGTGTGGTGGCTCATGCCTGTGATCTCAGCACTTTGGGAGGCCGAGGTGGGAGGATTGCTTGGGGCCAGGAGTTTGAGACCAATCTGGGCAACACAGTGAGACACCATCTGTACAAAAATTTAAAAATTAACTGGGCATGATGGTGCATGCCTTTAGTCCCAGCTACCTGGGGGGTTGAGTTTGGAGGATCCCTTGAGCCCAGGAGGTCAAGGCTGCAGTGGGCCATGATCTTACCACTACACTCCAGCCTGGGTTACAGAGCAAGACCGTGTCTCAAAAAAAAAGAAAGCGGATAATTGTCAAATAGCTGCTTAGGCACATCAAGGATGCTTGCTGCTTAAGAAATCTTTTAAAATCTTTTCCATGAATTTCCTTCTAGTTGCTGCTTTGTGAGTGTGAATTTTTTACTTCTGTAGGGCACACAAATGTGGGGCATTTGAACTGAATGCTTGGGAAAGTGTGATGGGCAGGCGGAAGAAGAATAGGGATGAGCTGTCTAAGTCCTCCTAGTCTGCAAGCTTGAGAATATGGCATCCAGGAATATGTGGCATTTTGTCCACACACACAGTGTTGGCAGGCTACCAGCAGCCCAGCTATCTGGACTAGAGGTGATGGATTTCTGTAGAACAGAAGTCAAAAAGTAAAATTAGGAGGCAAAAATCTTCAGGGTGGCCATAAAGACATTGTAACTTGTCTGGAAATTCCAACCAACACTGTACATGTATGCAATGACATACCAATAGACGGCTTCATCTTCTTGGATGTGTAATAATACCTTACAGAATCATTTCTTTTCTTTTTCTTTCTTTTTTTTTTTTTTTGAGATGGAGTTTTGCTCTTTTTGCCCAGGCTGGAGTGTAATGGCACGATCTCGGCTAACTGCAACCTCTGCCTCCTGGGTTCAAGTGATTGTCCTGCCTCAGCCTCCCAAGTAGCTGGGATTACAGGCATGTACCACCATGCCCGGCTAATTTTGTATTTTTAGTAGAGACAAGGTTTTGCTGTGTTAGCCAGGCTGCTCTCAACCTCCTGACCTCATGAGCTGCCCACCTTGGCCTCCCAAAGTGCTGAGATTACAGGTGTGAGCCACCGCGCCCGGCCTCAGAATCCTTTCACAGACATCTCATTTCATCCTTAGAGCACTGTGAAAAGATATAGCACCAAATAGGTACCTGTTTCTACTGAAGAAGATGTGGCAGCTCAGGGAATTTGTGGATTTGTCTAAGATTGCCTGGCTTTCAGGCAGAGCTGGGGCTAGAATGACTGTTCTGCTCTGTCCATTGATAGAATATGCATAAGAACAGGCTTGATGGTGGCTGACCTTGTTTTTTTTTTCTTTTTTTGAGACAGTTTTGCTCGTCACCCAGGTTGGAGTGCAGTGGTGCGATCTCAGCTCACCGCAACCTCCACCTCCCAGGTTCAAGTGATTCTCCTGCCTCAGCCTCCTGAGTAGCTGGGTTTATAGGCATGCACTGCCACGGCTGGCTAATTTTGTATTTTTAGTAGAGACTGGGTTTCTCCATGTTGTTCAGGCTGGTCTCGAACTCCCGACCTCAGGTGATCCGCCTACCTCGGCCTCCCAAAGTGCTGGGATTACAGGCATGAGCCACCCATGCCCAGGTGACTGATTTCTCTCTCTTTTTTTTTTTTTTTTAATGGAATCTCTCCCTGTCGCCCAGCTGGAGTGCAGTGGCATGATCTCAGCTCACTGCGACTTCTGCCTCCCAGATTCAAGCAATTCTCCTGCCCCAGCCTTCCAAGTAGCTGGGATTACAGGTATGCGCCACCCTACTTGGCTAATTTTTGTATTTTCAGTAGAGATGGGGTTTCACCATGTTGGTTAGGCTGGTCTTGAACTCCTGACCTCGTGATCTGCCTGCCTTGGCCTCCCAAAGTGCTGGGATTACAGGCGTGAGCCACCACGCCCGGCCCTGATTTCTTATTAACTAGATTTATAGTTGCTTTGATAAAAATCAGTCCAGTATTTTTGGAGTATCTTTCTGCCATTTCTAGGGCCAACATTTTTCTTCTCCATGAATCACTGTCAATATTGGGAATTTTAAATACCTTTTTTTTTTTTAATTCAAAAGACATAGTATGTTCCCCAGCCAGTTTGTTAGAACACCATGCATGATCCCATGTGTACAAAAAGCTTTCTGGCTGAATTCAGATGTGACCTGAGACGGTCAAACACAGGGGTATGTGCTGGGGGAGTGAGAGAAATCTCTGGACAGAACACAGGGCTGTTCCCCACCCAGGATATGGACCAACTATTTTAGGTTATGGTGACTAATTAAAGAAAATTGACATGCAAATAAATGAATAATTCTTAGAATCAGGATGTCTGGGTACTAGTTCTTTGGTTGGCCAGGTGAAATTCCATGCCAGGCCCAACAATTAAACTCTTTAGAGACTTTTTTTTTTCCCGTTGTACCAGAACATTGTACTGAGGCCATGTTTGAACATTTAAACGATGTGTTGGGAAAACGCTGCCCTACAATGTTAAATTAAATTTTTGGGGAGTCTTTCCTTTGACCAGTTTATATCTCTGTTTTAGAGGAGGGCTTCTCAACCAGAATGGGTTTGTTGATTTATTTTTATAGACCTCTGGTAGAGAAGAACCCCTCCCCCTTTTTTTTTTTTTTTTTTTTTTTTTTACTACCTGTTGTCCTGTCTCAGAGAACTATTACAATGGTGTAAGTTCATCATTCCTTCCCCTTATTATGGCTCTGCTTAGGAAGAAAAAATCTTTGCCTTGGCTACCAAGTTCCTATCCAAGATGCCACTGACAAAGAGTGAATCTGTGAATTACATGAATCTGGAATATCTAAAATATATCCAAACAAAAAGCACCTAGCCTTTTAATGACTCTTCGGAAGTCAGTTCTCTGACTGTAATTATCATCCTTCTGGGGGTATGTGGAAATTCTACACAAGTTGATTGGTGATATGTTGAGATGTGAAATCTGTATTTTCTAAGCAAAGTTGCCATGCACCTGATTGATTGGCTAGGTGCATCCTGGCGTTTGTCGTTTGTTGGTGTGGTCTGATAGTTGGTTTCACCACTGCTGGGTACCTAGAGTCATCACATCCATAGAGACAGAATGTAGGCTGGTGGTTGCCAGGGGCTGGGGGAAGGGAGGAGTGGGGAATTTGTTTAACAGATAGAGGCTTTTAGTTTTGCAAGATGAAATGAGTTCTAGAGATTGGTTGCACAACAATGTGAATATACTTAACACTACTGAACTTTATACTTAGAAATGGCTAGGATGGTAAATTTTATGTTACCTGTATTTTAACACACATACACACAAAAACTTTGGGCCAGGCACGGTGACTCACACCTGTAATCCCAGTACTTTGGGAGGCTGAGGCAGGCAAATCATAAGGTCAGGAGTTCGAGACCAGCCTGGCCAAGATGGTGAAATGCCGCCTCTACTAAAAATACAAAAAATTAGCCGCGTGTAGTGATGGGCGCCTGTAATGCCAGCTACTTGGGAGGCTGAGATAGGAGAATCGCTTGAACCTGGGAGGTGGAAGTTGTAGTGAGCCAAGATTGCGCCACTGCACTCCAGCCTGGGTGACAGTGTGAGACTCAATCTCAAAAAAAAAAAAAAAAAAAAAAAAAGTAATGAGAGCTTACTTCAAGATGGCAGCAAAAGACAGACAGTGGAAAAAAGGCATTGGGAAAAAAAACCAATGTGCCTTGGTGATTAAAGTTAACTGAGTCAAGGGGAGAAGTCAAACGTAACTATAATAGCCTTTTTCTATTAACACAAATAGGGAATGAGTGGTTTTGGGAAAGAAAGTGATGAATTATACCTCAGATATTATATTGTCTATTACTGTGGCCGGGCATGGTGGCTCACACCTGTAATTCCAGCACTTTGGGAGGCCAAAACAGGCAGATCACTTGAGGCGAGAAGTTCGAAACCAGCCTGGCCAACATGGTGAAACCCTGTCTCTACTAAAAACACAAAAATTAGTGTGGTGGCATTTGCGTGTAATCCCAGCTACTCAGGAGGCTGAGGCATGATAATTGCTTGAACCTGGGAGGCAGAGGTTGCAGTGAGCTGATATGGTGCCATTGCATTCCAGCCTAGGTAACAAGAGCAAAACTCTGTCTCAAAAAAAAAAAAAGATTTGCCTGTAATGAGCCAGTACCCCCAGCTTTGTGCTCACTTTACATACAAAAATTATGTTGTTTACTGTAGGGCAAAAATTGAAGGGCACATTCAAAACTGAGAGGTAGGCCAGGCATGGTGGCTTATGCCTGTAATCCCAGCACTTTGGGAGACCAAGGCAGGTGGATCACTTGAGATCAGGAATTCGAGACCAGCCTGGCTAACATGATGAAACCCCATCTCTACTAAAAAATACAACACATTGGCCATTCATGGTGGTGCACACCCGTAGTACAGCTACTTGGGAGGCTGAGGCAGGAGAATCGCTTGAACCTGGGAGGCAGGAGGTTGCAGTGAGCCGAGATCAAGCCACTGCACTCCAGCCTGGGTGACAGAGTGAGATCCTGTCTCAAAAACAAAAAAAAAGACAAAAACAAAACCAAACCTAGAGGCAACAGATTGATAAGTGACACAGTTACACTGGTCAGTCTCTTCTGCTAATATCCATTGTCTTTCATTATTGAAGATTCATAACGTGTTTTCTTTCTTTTTTATTTTTTTTGAGATATGGTCTTACTCTATCACCCAGGCTGGAGTGCGGTGGCATGATCTCTTCTCACTACAACCTCTGCCTCCTGGGTTTAAGCAATCCTCCCGCCTCAGCCTCTTGAGTAGCTGGTACAACAGGCACATGCCATCATGCCTGGCTAATTTTTGTAGAGATGAGGTTTCACCATGTTGCCCAGGCTGATCTCGAACTCCTGACCTCAAGTGATCTGCCCACTTCAGACTCCCAAAGTGTTGGGATTACAGGCGTAAGCCACTCACTTGGCCTTAGTGTATTTTCATATTGGTTGAGACTAGCCTTGCTCATTGATCTTCTCTTTTAGGGTTTACTTGGTTATTCTTGTTTATTTTTCCATAACAACTTTCATTTTTATTTAATCCTGTGTTTTCTAGTTTTAAAGACTATTTTATAACAAATTTTCATGATTAAACTCTTGTGCTTAAACTGTTGATTAAACAAACAAGCAATGAAGAGATTAATGAAGCAGAAAATGTGAGTTTCATGCCTCACATTCCCACTCCTCTGAGGTTAATATTTTCATATATATATTTTCAGGATGTATTTGTAATCTCATACAAATGTGTGTATTTTTTTAATGAAAATATTTAAATTTTTGTAGTTACACCTGTAGCTCTAACTAACTTGGCAATATCCTCTGTGTTTCTTTACAGCCATTATACTTGCCCACGAATCTTTGAGAACATTATAATGACCTTTGTGCCTCTTCTTGCAAGGTGTTTTCTCAGCTGTTATCTCAAGACATGGATATAAAAAATTCACCATCTAGCCTTAATTCTCCTTCCTCCTACAACTGCAGTCAATCCATCTTACCCCTGGAGCACGGCTCTATATACGTACCTTCCTCCTATGTAGAGAGCCACCATGAATATCCAGCCATGACATTCTATAGCCCTGCTGTGATGAATTACAGCATTCCCAGCAATGTCACTAACTTGGAAGGTGGGCCTGGTCGGCAGACCGCAAGCCCAAATGTGTTGTGGCCAACACCTGGACACCTTTCTCCTTTAGCAGTCCATCGCCAGTTATCACATCTGTATGTAGAACCTCAAAAGAGTCCCTGGTGTGAAGCAAGATCACTAGAACACACCTTACCTGTAAACAGGTAAGTCCAGTCTTCATTCTGAATTATAGTTCCTGGCCATTTCTCAAATCACTTTATGGTTTAGTGAGAAGGAAATAATATGTTAGACAAGGTCTTTATTTTATTTTATTTTTATTTTTATTTTTATTTTTTTGAGACGGAGTCTCTCTCTGTCACCCAGGCTGGAGTACAGTGGCACAATCTCGGCTCGGTGCAAGCTCTGCCTTCTGGGTTCATGCCATTCTCCTGCCTCAGCCTCCGGAGTAGCTGGGACTATAGGCGCCTGCCACCATGCCCAGCTCATTTTTTGTATTTTTAGTAGAGAGGGGGTTTCACCATGTTAGCCAGGATGGTCTCGATCTCCTGACCTCGTGATCCACCCGCCTTGGCCTCCCAAAGTGCTGGGATTACAGGCGTGAACCACTGCGCCTGGCCTAAGTTCTTTATTTTATTAATTACATAGTTTACTTAGAGCACCCAAAACACAGGATGCCCTGTTCTGTTCTGATACTTTAGTTCTCATTAAAAAGTGGTATGTGTACATCAGTGTTGTGGGGAGAATTTGCTATCATGACTATTGTCTTTATACAGTAAAGACTGAACTTAAGTCACTCTTTTTCTTTTTTTGAGACAGGGTCTCGCTCTGTCACTCAGACTGGAGTACAATGGCGCGATCTCGGCTCACTGCAACCTCCACCTCCTGGGTTCAAGTGATTCTAGTGCCTTAGCCTCCTGAGTAGCTGGGATTACAGGCGCGTGCCACCATGCTTAGCTCGTTTTTTTTTTTTTTTTTTTTTTTTGTGTGTGTGTGTGTGTGTTTTTAGTAGAGACAGGGTTTCACCATGTTGGCCAGGCTGGTCTTGAACTCCTGACCTCAAATGATCCGCCTGCCTTGGCCTCCCAAAGTGCTGAGATTATAGACGTGATGAACAACTGTGCCTGGTCTGAACTTAAGTCACTGTTAACGGAGTTATTTGGATTTGAAAAATGATTTTTACTTTACTTTCAGTTTTAGAGTCGTCTTATAGTGAAATCACAATTTAATGTTAATGACAAATTGTTTCCAGGATAAAAGTAACTGTGGCAGTATTACAACTTAAATGAAATTCTAGACATGCAAAGCCTGAAAAGACAGATGATTGGTATAAGCTTTTTAACTATGAACTAAAATAATAACATTATATAAAGATTGGTGGAAACTATTGAAGTATAGGCTTCAGTTAACATTCCCTGAAGTTATAAAGGATATGTGTACTCTTTAAATGCAAGGTAATGTTATGGGTTATTTCCATCTAATTATTAATATTTCTAATGATAATAGGTATGAAGGGAAGGGATGGTATAATGAGAAAGGAGAGGGGGAGATAAACATCTAAAACAAAGTACTAAGGGCATATTGGATATTGAAATTCGTTACTTTCAAATATTATCATAAAACTTTGAGACGGTAACATTGCACCATAATTCTTTTTTTTCTTCTTTTAAAAACATTTTACTCATTGGTAAAATAAAGAAGAGAATATAAACATTGTGGATAACTTTTTTAAAGTAATGGGTTTTTTTTCTTCCTTCTTTAAAGGAAGACATATTTTGTTTCTGAGCATGAATTATAATCAAAGTTCTGCTAATTTTGGGGCAAATTAACCCATGATATAATTACCTTCATTTATAAATCAATAATACCTTCACCATTCTCTTTCTGAAAGAACCATGCCCTGGCAACATCAGGAACTAGCCAGATGTGTTTTGGGGCCTGCCTGGGGCTCCCTTGCTAGACTCTCTGTTCCTTTATGAACCTCAAGCCTCTGCTTCCTTCCAAGCCTTTCCAGGCCAGGCACTTGCTTGTTCTCTCTCTTCTCTTCTCTCTTCTTTTTTGTCTCTCCCTTTCTCTTCTCTTCTCTTCCCCCTTTTTCTTGTCTCCCATTCATCTCAAGGTAACTTAAAGTCCATTTGTTACTCCTCGTAAAATTATTTTTATTTTATTTTTTTGAGACAGAGTCTCACTCTGTTGCCCAGGCTGGAGTACAGTGGTGCAATCTTGGCTCACTGCACCCTCTGCCTCCTGGATTCAAGCAGTCTTCTGCCTCAGCCTCCAAAGTAACTGGGATTACAGGTGTGTGCCATCATGCCTGGCTAATTTTTGTATTTTTAGTAGATACAGGGTTTTACCTTGTTGGCCAAGCTGGTCTCGAACTCCTGGCCTCAGGTGATATGCCCACCTTGGCCCCCCCAATGTGCTAGGATTACAGGCATGAACCATTGCTCCCGACCTGAAAGTTATTTTAAATCTAGACCTTTATCTGAAATTGCAGAGAGTGAGATGTTTGTTCTCCATTTAAATGGGAACCTAAAATGTCTGAAGGGCTGCTTAGCAATGCTGTTGGGAATGACTGATGTTTGAAAGTGGTTGTGTGCCTTCAGGCCCATCTATGCAGCGTTTGTGAACTCGAGTAACTACAGAAGACCAATGCATATCCTGCCTATGGTTCAGACCTGTGGGTAAGATTTGATCTAGCCACTCCTTTCATTACACTTAGAGATGGACCCCCTCCCCCATGGCTATGACTGGTCTTCTGCAGTGACAGATGCTCATCAGCATCACGTGGATGGGCATAAACTCACCTACCCACTTTCGAACATTAGTCATTCCCCACAGCGTGGCTCTTTGAAGATATGGTATCAGTATCAAAAGCTTTGCTCTATGAGATTTCCGGGAATATATTTACCATGAACCCTGGGGGAAAAAGAGATTAAATTAGGCAATGTTCATGCTATTTTTTTTTTCCCTAGAAAGCCCTTTTTTCCCCTTTTATGCTCTGTTCAATGGATATTTTCTTTGCTCCCTAGAGAGACATTGAAAAGGAAGGTTAGTGGGAACCGTTGCACCAGCCCTGTTACTAGTCCAAGTTCAAAGAGGGACGCTCACTTCTGCGCTGTCTGCAGTGATTATGCATCGGGATATCACTATGGAGTCTGGTCGTGTGAAGGATGTAAGGCCTTTTTTAAAAGAAGCATTCAAGGTACAAGAGAATTGTTAACTGCTTTCGTTTCCTACTTTTGCTTTCAAACAATTTTGCAGAGATGACTTGGCAGAAATGTCACCACTGGCCTGTTTGGCACACAAAGTATTTGATGAGCAGTTCAGAAGATCACGTGTGTTTGGGAGTGGGTTGGGTGGTGGCGTGGAATTGCAGATTTCTACCCCAGAACCCCAAAATTATACAGCCAACTCGGAATGGGTCTTACTCCTCTTTCACTCACATGGGTGTTGGATAGAAGGTGTCGAGTTACAACCTTGTAAAGGTGTCTCTTGGAAAAAATGTGCTCATAAGGAGTTGCAAAGATTGTTTCTTTCTTTTACTTAAATTTAATATATAGCATGCTTAACAGTCATGATGGTGGGCTGGCTCCTGAGGAAGAGAGAGAATAAACACATTTTATGGAAATGGTCAGAAATCAGGAATTCAGCTGCAGTGGACTTTGAGAATTGATCTAGACACATTTCTTCCCCCAGTCTAGGAAGGTCTCAGTTCACGATCACCTTGTTTTCTGAGCTGAGTTTAGATTTTTTCCCTAACTTTCTCTAAATTCCTTCTGGACTGTTTTTTTTTTTTTGTATGTTTTTTTAAATCAACTTGTTAATGAAAATCAAACTCTGTAAAATATTTGAAGAGATTTATTCTGAGCCAAATATGAGTGACAAGTGGCCCGTGACACAGCCCTCAGGAGATCTGAGAACATGTGCCCAAGGTGGTCAGGCCACAACTTGGTCTTATACATTTTAGAGAGACGTAAGGCATTAATCAATGCATGTAAGATGTACATTGATTCAGCCTGAAAAGGCAGGACAACTGAAAGCAGGGGCTTCCAAGTCACAGGCGATTCAAAGATTTTCTTGGTTGGCAGTTGGTTGAAAGAGTTATTATCAATAGGAAGCCATGACTGGGTTACAATAAGGGATTGTAGAGACCAAGGTTTTGTCATGCAGATGAAACTTCCAGGTAGCAGGCTTCAGAGAGAATAGATTGTAAATGTTTCTTAGGGGACTTAAAGGGTCTGTTCTATCAGTGATTCCAAAAGGGTATAATGAACCATGTCTGGCTCCCTCTTCCTATCATGGCCTAAACTTATTTTTTGGGTTAACTTTGTAATGCCCTTGGCCAAGAGGAGGGACCCATTCAGATGGTTGAGGGGCCTTAGGATTTTATTTTTTGGTTTATAAACCTCAAATTGCGCACCCCTGATTTCAAGGCTGGTCAGCCCATCTCCCTGCATGTGTCCTTGCTACACTCTCTCTCCCTTGCCAGCCCTGTTTTGTTGAAGTCACTTTCTTGCTTACTCCTGTTTTCTCCTTTTGCCTGTCCCTCAATCACCCCCTCCCAGGCAACACCCTACGTTTCCATCTGAAAGCTCCCTTCCTTTTTCTACCAAAGCCCCAGCTCTTTGTTCTTTGCCAGTTAAGAAAAGCAACGTTGAGGGAATTCGTAGTGTGCAAATGGCAAATAGCAATTTACTAAATTAACTCACCGACTGATAACTCTAGATTAGGAGGATGTTTTACCTCAATCAGAGAAATACTGATAGAATCCAGGATATGGTGAGGAGTGAAATGTTGGTAAAGAGTCACCTTCCTACCTGTCCCCTGAAATTCACCCTGTATGAATGGCAGCCTCTTTGTCCCGGATTTTATACTTATTAGCTCTGTGACTTCACCTCCCAGCCGATTTCCTTCTCTGTGAAATGGAGATACTCATAGGGATTTTCTAAAGATGAAATGAGGTTGATTGATATGAAAACATATTCAGTGCTCAAATATTTTATCTGTGACAACTATAACAGTAGATTATAAGGCCAGGTCCAGTTCCCTGCTATATGATAAGAACAATCTGGATTTTCTGAAATTCTGAACTTGATATGATGACTATTTTCTATCTTGCTGAGGTTCTAGGATTTTACCCCTTAAGAACATTTGGACCTATTACTACTAACCGTATCTTTTAAAAAGAGATCCTTCTTTTTTTTTTTTTTTTTTTTTCTGTTGGGGAAACATCTGTCTGCTTGAAACATCTTTGACCCCTGAGACTACAGCTAATAACAGTTGAAAGTAAATTTCCTTGCTTCTCTGTGTTGTTTCTTCCTGCTGTATCAGACACGAATGTCAAATTCTAAATGTGCAAAGAGGAAAGAGTTAAAGCTCTTACAGTTGTAGTGCATAAATGATCCTTTCTTTGCACTGCAGTAACTGAAAGTGGCCACTCATTTTTTAAAATTGTCTCAAATAGGCCAGGACGGTACAGTACTGAGAAATTCCTTGCATTTTTTTCTTTTCTTTCTTTTTTTTTTGAGAAGGAGTCTCTCTCTGTCATCCAGGCTCACTGCAGTGGCACCATCTCGGCTCACTGCAAGCTCCACCTCCCGGGTTCATGCCATTCTCCTGCCTCAGCCTCCCGAGTAGCTGGGACTACAGGCACCTGCCACTGTGCCTGGCTAATTTTTTGTATTTTTAATAGAGACCGGGTTTTACCGTGTTAGCCAGGATGGTCTCGATCTCCTGACCTCATAATCTGCCCACCTCAGCCTCCCAAAGTGCTGGGATTACAGGCGTGAGCCACCGCGTCTGGCCCATTCTTTTATTTTTTTTATGATTTTGAACTTGTCTTGCTAACTTGATTTATTAGCTAATTGACCATATCTTAGTCATGTATCTGTCCCCTTCACTGTACAAATGCACTGGAAGCTGTGTTGTGCTTGCTGTTCCATTGATACTTTGTTGGCTTCCTCACACAATGAGTTGCCGTCAGACTGATAAGTGCTGCTGTTTCTCTCCTGGGTTATGGAGCACAGAGGAAGGAGAAAATAGGGAGAGCGACCTCATCACTTTGTCTGGTCCAGATGAAGGCACGGCTTATTTTTCAAGCTTATCCTTTCCTTTTTGTTCTCTTTCCTATTGGTGTTCCTTTAACAAATATTTGTTGAGCACTGTACTGGGCTCTATGGATACAGTGGTGAGCAAGACAACAGATTACAGATTCCATGAGGACCAGAGTTTTTGTCCATTTTGCTTACCAGTAGCACTGAACAATTCCTTGCATATGATTTTTCAAAATTAATTGGGCTTATACAGAGTTCTGTATCCTTTTTCACTTAATATTGTCTTATAAGCATTTCTGTGGTTAAGTTTCCAGAGACTTTTTTCACAACTGTGTAATATTCTGTCTTATCAGATTTGATTTAACTCTTTATTGTTGAAGACCTTATCAATTATTTTCAGTTTTTTAAACAATGCTGTGGTTAATTTATTTGTTAAGGAAGTTTTGAAAAAATCTCTAATAGTTTCTCTGGATATATTTTTAGAACAAATATGTGGGATCAGAGTATATTAATGTTTAAAGTTCTTGACAGATGTTTTCAAGTGTTCAAGTCTCAAGAAGGTTGTACAGACTTGCTCTTCTGCCAGCAGCATGAGTGTCTCTTTTACCAACCTCTTGGTAGCATTGACTCTTATCAAAAAGAAAAAACCTTGCTACATTGGTATCTTTTGGTTTTAATTTGCTTCTCTTTATTAGTGAGGTAAATGTTTTCTCATAAATTTATCTATCGTTTGTATTTTCTGTTTTATCTTTTTTATTCAGAGCTTTTGCCCATTTTTCTATGGGGTTCTGACATTTTCCTTTTAAACTGTGTGCTTCATATATTCACCTATTATTACATGTATGACAAATATTTTTTCCACTTGACTCTGATTTTGACATACAGAAATATTTAATCTTTAAATAGTCAAATATTACCAACTTTGATAGTTTTGTATATAGTTTTTAAGCCTAAAAAATCCTTTCACACCCAGGCATTATATAAACTTTTGCCTATGTTTTGTTATTTAATAGTTTGTTTTTACATTTTATTATTTAATTCAAAAGGAATTTATTTTGGCATACTGAATGAAATAATCAAATGTATTTATCTCTAAATAGTTAATTTTCTCCACATCATTTTACTGAATAAATCCATTCATTTTTCATTGATTTTTAAAATATGGGAGTCAATTTTAAAAGTTGAGTTTGAGATACAATTTGCATATGATAAAATTTACCTATTTTAGTTATATGGATTTATGAGTTTTGAAAATATGTGTAGTCATGCAACCACCACCATAATTAAGATTGGAATTTATTATCACCCCCCAGAATTCGCTTATGTCCACTGCAACCCATTTCTCCTGAATTTCCCTGGCCCTGGGAATCACTGGTCTGTTTTCTGTCCCTCTAGTTTTGCCTTTTTGAGAATGTCATACTGTATTTCAATTTGGCTTTTTACTTATGATGCTTTTGAGATTTATCTGTGTTGTTGCATGTATCAGTAGTTCATTCCTTTTTGTTGCTGAATAATATTGCAATGTATAGATATATCACTGTTCATTCATTCATTGGCATTGTTTAAAGTTTTGTGCTATTTTGAATAAAACTGTTATGAGTGTTCATGCATATCTCTCTGTGCAGACATATGATTTTGTTTCTCTTGGGTACCTACGTGTAAAACTGCTAGTTGTATGATAAGTATATGTTTAACTTTATAAGAAACTAACAAATTATTTTCCAAAGTGGCTGGACCACTTTGCATTCTTGACAACAATGTATGAGAGAGTTCCCGTTGCTTTACATCTTTGCCAAAACTGGATATTGTCAGTCTTTTCAATTTTTGCCCTTTTAATGGTATGCACTAGCATCTCATTGTGGTTTTAATTTGCATTTCCCTGATGATGATTTTGTGCATCTTTTCATGTTTCCATTGGATTTTGTTTCTCTACATATGTATAAATATGATAGACAAAGTTCTTATGTATACTAGCATTTTATTCTGACTGTTCCATTGATCTCTCTCTTCATTCTTGTATAAGAACTATTTTACATGATTCTACATTATTTGAACTATTATAGTGTTATAATGTATTTAACACCTGCTGGTACAAGTTAAAAAATTTCCTAGCCATTTTCTCTTGTTTTTTCATAGGAATGTTAGAATG